CATGTGACCCACAAGAGTACTACAGATCCATATAGCAAGTGGGAAATTGAGAAATTTGGGGAGGATGCTGGGCTGATTTTGCATCCCATCTGCCTGTAAACCTCTTTCTCTAGGTGGCCCTTTTGCCTTCTTGGTGTTTTATTCCATCCACACTAGGCTTAAGTTTCCTTTTAGAATTACTTCATCCAAAGGAATTTGACATTTCTGTTTGGTCTTGATCTGTCTAGGGAGGTAGAATTGGCGTTGCTTAAGGTAGAAACTGATACCCAAGTTGTTTGGTTTGATAAAAAAATGAGAGTCCCCTGCCATCTTTTCTGCATGTTGGCCTGATACGATCAGTGACACTATTAGAGAATAATAGTACAGTCACTAACTCTTTCTTACACGTACAGTTACACTCCAGAGCTTTTGTTTGTTTGAACCGGAGAGCTTGCTTTCATGGATACTTTTCTTTTGATTTCCCTTTCCTTTTATCTGAAGTCTCTTTCTATGTGTACTTACACCATTTATTGAAGAAAAACACGGCAACCCACTTGTATCTTTTCTTTTTCTGTTTTTTCTTTTCTTTTGTTTTGTTTTGTGAGGGTAGCTGCTATTCAACTCTCACGGCTCATCCTATAATCTTATCCTATGGTGTTATGTACTGATTTGATTTCATGAATGAGTAAATTAATCCTTCAGTTTTCAAAAACTTACAATTATCTTTTCTTTTTTTGATTTTTTTTCTTTTGTTTTGTGAGGGTAGCTGCTACTATTCAACTCTCACGACTCATCCTATGATCTTATCCTTTGGTGTTATCTATACTGATTTGATTTCATGAATGAGTAAATTATTCTTTCATCCATTAGCAATTGTAACTTAATCATTCAGTTTTCAGAAACTTACAATTATCTTTTTCCCTTTAATTATTAGTTTGCGACTTTGTCTGTTTATAACGCACTGCTGGTGTGGTGCTGAGCTATCGAATAATCAATCACTTTAGCTCCAAAAATACCATTTTTAGTGCTGAAATGATAGATTGATTGTGTGACACTTCAGCACGAGTACTCTAACGGTGCAATGCCAAAAGGACTAAATCATAAACGGAGCATAAAGTGGAGGATATATCTGTAGGTCTTTGAATACCTGAGGACTAAGTTACCATTGAAATATCGAGATGCGCGTAAATCCATCAGAAACGTTATCCCTCATAGTCATAGCCCTTCTTTTATCATCATGAAGTATCGATTCCAACCAGAAAGCCTAGACTCTCCGTTAATTTATTTTTCTTCTCTGTCTATTCGTCTCATCTCAAAAATTTTTCTTTAAGAGATATGGATATTTTAGAGAGCCAAATGGAAATACTTAGTATAAATAATGAAGAAGAGAGATGGATAAAGCATTACAGCAGTTCTCAAAAAATACTACTGGTAGGAGAAGGTGATTTTTCATTTGCTTCTTGCTTGGCCAAAGCCCTTGGTTCTGCAGTAAACACGGTAGCCACTTCTCTCTACTCCAAAGGCAATATTTACTAGCGTCTATATGGTCTGTGATTTTTTGGAATTGGTTTCTGATAAATACTGTTACAACCATATAAAAGAGATGATGATGCTGTAGTATTCAGAAGCTGCAACGAACTTAAGAGAGCTGGAGGATCTTGGATGCACCATAATGCATGAAGTAGACGCACACAGTACGAGCGAGCATCCTCTTCTAAGTCAGATCTTGTTTGACCGGATAGTCTTCAATTTTCCGGCTACAGCTCTCGAAAGGAGTGAATCAAATGTTCGCCAAATCGAGTAAGTTCAGCTAAGACGACTGATGCAACATTTCTCCTTACGCCATTTGATGTTTTTTGTTCTTAAGGTGTAGATGGCAGGATTTGAACTTTGAGAACTCTCTTTTGCCTGATCATAACTTATGCTATTTCAACTGCTAGATAGGTTAAATGCAATCACGGCAAGTCTTTTTAGATTTAACTGTAAACAGGAAGTCCGAATAACATGTGCTCCTATTTAAGTGCTAATAATAACATGTAGTCCTATTTCTCTCCTTAGGAAACATCAAAGGTTGATGAAGGGCTTCCTAGGGAGTGCCCATGACATGTTAGAAGAGAATGGAGAAATTCATGTGACTCACAAGACCACAGAGCCATACGGTAAGTGGGAGATTGAGAAATTAGCAGAGGATGTTGGGCTGTGCTTGGTTGAGAAAGTTAGGTTCAGAAGATCTGAATATCCAGGATACAGTAATAAAAGAGGATCTGGAGCTAGGGCTGATGAGACTTTCCCTGCTGGAAACTGCTGCAACTTCAAATTTGCCAGGACTACCTGACATATATAGAGCAATTCCTTCGTAAATCAACCCTCTCAATTTGGGGGTTCAATTTCCAATTCTTTAGCCTTTTTCTTTGGCATTAACGGATCCCAATCCACCATAACAGTTACTGAAACTCAAATTCTTGCCCTTCCTCCTGCTGTGCAGATAAGTCAAGACCGACATTTCTGTGGCAATGACTGTAATTGTATTATTTTGAATTTTGTGAGAGATTTCTGACAGCATGTATGCCATGATGGCTGAAATACAATACTCTGGTCAAAACATGCTTGCATGATATGCTCCTATAAATGTAACTACATGCTGCATGATATGCTCCTGTAAGTGTAACTACATTGTAACTATCAAATATTTTTTCTATCTAGCATGCTGAATGATAGACTCCACACACAGTTTTAAATTAGGGACGATTGAAAAGATAATCAAAGTCGTTATCATAGATTGCATCTTATTATAATACTAAAATAACGATAACGATATAGTCTGAAACCATTATATAACATAACGGTAGTCATTTAAAACTATTACTTCATAACAAGGTGATCCTACTATTTTCTTGTACTTTTGCTTTAACAGCTATGCAATTCTGGACAGTCAGCATATATATTTTAGGATTTCTATGGGACAAGACACTTCTCAAATTTTATTATATTATCAAGCATTGGATTCATGATAGTTATTGAAAGTTTGCAACATAACAATCAAGTTGATTGAAAATTAGAAATAACATTGAAGTTTTGTTATCTCATAAAATTAAGTTGACTCCCCGCGGCAACGCAGGGGTAGTATCCTCTTCTCAATCACAAATTGTTCGACAGAATAGTCTATAATTTTTCTCATACAGCTCTCAAAAGGAGTGAAGCAAACATTCGCCAAATCGAGTAAGTTCAGCTAGAACTACTAATTTCCCTTAACTAGGTCCTTTTTTTTTTCCTTTTGGTTCTTAAAGTAGAAGGGTAAGAATAAAGCAAGAGGCATGTCCTCTCTCTCTCTTTCTGTTTTTTTTTTTTTTTTATGATGCTATACAAGAGGTGAATGAGGACCTATCTTGGTTTCTTTGGAAGAGAATCCATGCATAGTAGTCCATAAAATTTGAATTTTATTGGCTATCCAAGGACCTCCCTGTATTGCCCAGTATGATTAGATGCTGATCATAGTCGAGAAAGTTCAGTTCAGAAAATCTGACTATCCTGGATATGAAAGTAAAATAGGATCTGGACCTTTTGCTGATAAGACTTTCCTGCTAGAAACTGTTGTTCCTTCAAATTTGCCAGGATTACAACACAAACTGCTTGACATATAGAGCATGCAGTGAGGGCCTGAATATATTTCGATTAGGATTGATTGATCAGACCCTCTCGTCCTTGTTGATTAAACTTTTGACGTGATCAGTCAGTCGAAAATTAGTCCATTGACAGTCTGCGCTTTAGCGAAGGAGGAGCAAGTTTCAAGTTCAAATCCTGTTTTTGTCATCCTGAAAAAACTCTGCGCTGTCGTGTGCAGTCAATGATGATATGTGTTATCATCAGATGGATGTTTCTGTGAACAGTATTCCTTCCAAGTGTAGAGAAAATTTCTATAATCTTTATATTAGATTGCTTAGCTCAAGGTTAATCTTGAGGTCCAATATTCTGACCTTCTTCCCTGCTGCTTTGACATGTCATTCTGTATATTGGTAATATATTCCAATACATTTGGCTAAAGATGCATCTATTACTGGTTTTGCTTGAGCTAGAAAGTTATAACCAGTTGTTGGAGTGCCAGAAAATGAGAGGCCCCTACTATCTTACCATATATATTGGTAATATATTCCTATACATATTGGTATGATACTGCAAAATATATCAAGGAAATTTGTCTCTTTACATGAAGAAAGCGCAGCTCTTTCCTCGCCAAGCAAATCTAGAATCTCATCATGTAGCTCAATATGGCATAGAAACACAAAGGATTGATTTCTTTTTCTATTGTGATTGTAGCTCATGGATGTACTTTCTTTCAAAGATATGAATTAATTGTATGCTTAAGGAACATATAAGCTATATTTTGTTACTCAATTTCTACCTATTTTATAGCTTACAGTGAAGAATTTCACTGTAGAACATGGCTTTTTCTCCTGTTTTTCCTTTGCTTTTATCTGCGCAAAATGATAACAGATGAATGACGACTATCATTTTCATACCCTACCATTAATTCCAAAACAACACAGCAAAGGCGCTTGCTTCTTCTTTTTTCCCCTTTTTTTCTTTTTTGACCCTCTCCTTTTCACTGGTGAGTGGTCCTTTTCACTGGTGAGTGGTGACTTTCTACATTATTTTTGACCCATGCCTCTTGCTAGCATGATCTGCTGGTTTGATTTCATAACTTCACATAGAAATGATGAACAAAAACTGTATGATTGATTGCTGCAGTTTACACCTGCAGGAATGTGATTGGTTTAGTACACATGAACCTGCCTAACCCACAAATGAAACATTATGAGATATTTCGTCCACCAAAAAGTCACCCTTATTGGTCTTTTCTTAGAGAGTAATATTCCAACCAAAAAAGAAAAGGCTCTCCGTTTACTTTCCTCTTCATGATCTCTTGTTCCCGTTAGCTCTTCTTCATCTCATCTAAAATTCTTTTCCTTCATCATCTCCCGGAAGTGGCCAATTTCAAGAGAAAAGAGTGCCAAATACAAATTATGGGTAGCTTAGAGAGCCAGATGGAAATGCTTAGTATAGATGAAGAAGAGAAATGGATAAAGCATTATAGCAGTTCTCATAAAATACTACTAGTTGGAGAAGGTGATTTTTCTTTCGCTGCTTGCTTGGGCAAAACCTTTGGTTCTGCTGCAAACATGGTGGCCACTTCTCTCTACTCCAAAGGTAATAACCATTACTAGTGTCTATATGATCTGTTATATGTTGGATTTGCATTTTGATTGATCCTGTTATACAAACAAATAAAAGAGACCATGATGCTCAAGTATTCAAAAGCTGCGACAAACTTAAGCGAGCTGGAGGAACTTGGATGTACCATAATGCATGGAGTTGATGCTCATACTATGAACAAGCATCCTCTTCTGAATCGGAAATCGTTCGACCGGATAGTCTATAATTTTCCTGCTACAGCTCTCAAAATGAGTGAATCAAATACTCACCAAATCGAGTAAGTTCAGCTAAGATGAATAAGTTGCATTTCGCCGTAGGTCATTTGATTTTATTTTTATTTTTATTTTTATTTTTGGTTTGTTCTTTATGGTATAAATGGCAGGATTTGAACTTGGAACCTCTCTTTTGTCTGCTGTATCGTGCTCATAGTTTTAAATTGTGGAAGGTTAAAAAAAGATCGCAATTGCTATCGCGGATTGCAGTTTACTATAATACTAAAATAACGATAATGGGATGCTTCAAAACCATTATATAACGGCCATTATATAACGTAAAGGCCGTTATTTAAAACTATGATCATGCTATTTGTTTTGAACTTCTAGATTAGATGAAGGCTGCCAATTCTGCTTAGATTTAACTGTGTCAAAAGCATATATTTCTCTTCTTAGGAAGCATCAAAGGTTGGTGAAGGGCTTCCTGGGGAGTGCTCATGACATGCTGGAAGTGAATGGAGAAATTCATGTGACCCATAAAACCACAGAGCCATACAGTAAGTGGGAGATTGAGAAATTAGCAGAGGATGCTGGGCTGTGCTTGGTTGAGAAAGTCAGGTTCAAGAAAGCTGACTATCCAGGATTCATTAATAAGAGAGGATCCGGGCCGAGAGCTGATCAGACCTTTTCTGCTGGAAACTGCTGTACCTTCAAATTTGCCAGGAATATTACTTGAGATGGGACCAAAACAGGCACTGAAACCCAAATTCCTGCCCTGTCCCTTGCCTATTTAATGTAATGTTATTGCATTTATCAAGGATTTTGTTGCTACCTATCATGCTGAATGATGGAGTAAACCACGACAGGATGATCCTTAAAGTTGATGTCAGAGTCAGACTTAGCAATCTTAATTCTATTTGCTTTGAAATCATTGCGAGTCTGAAATGCATGCTATGAACCAAGTAAACAACTGAAACCAGAACAAACCTAACTATTGTAATCAAAGCTGAACAATTTTTGACAGTCATAAAGTCTTTCAGGATTTCCATGTCTCGAGCTTCATTCTATTTATCGAAGGTTGGTGTAGGGCTTCCGAAGGAGTGCCCGTGACATGCTAGAAGAGAATGGAGAAATTCACGCGACCCACAAGACTAAATATCCATATAGGGCATGTGCTTGGTAAATCCCAATACCCAGCATACATTAATAAGAGGGTCAGGTGTCAGGGAATAGAGCTGACAAAACTTTTCCAGTTTGAAATTGCCTTACCTTCAAATTTGCCAGGACTGAGACAGAGAGCAACCTCTTCTCAAGTTGAACCAAAATGCGTTTTTGAGTGTGATTTGCATATAAGCTGGTGCTAACGCAGCTGTTTTATCTAAACTGTTTATTACTCACAAACCTTACTGAATCCTCCAAGAGTCCTCTCATATGTACACATTATGTAATGGTTTCAGAGCATGTCGCTATTGTTATTTTAAGTTATAATAAGTCATGATCGATAATGACTATCGTGATTATTTTTTCAACCATTCGCAATTTAAAATTATGTATAGACCCTCTCAATTGAAGGATTTGTGATGTTCCACTCAATCTACAATGAAGCAATGCAGCTTCTTCTTTTTTCTTTTTTTTTTTTTTTTTTTGGCTTGTTCCTTGCACATTCCCCATCACCAAGCCAGACAATCAAAACCTAGAATTCATGTCCCCTGCTTTGGAGAGAAGCCACCGACAGGACTGGTCATAAAGATTACAACCCATTATCGTCTTAGAATATATGCATGGATGATTTGCAAATAGCAAAACATGGTAACAACATGCCAGCATCATATGCTCTTTTGTGTTGTGGCTTAGTATTTCAAACCTTGTACTTATCAAACATTTTGTCCATTTCTAGCATACAGGATGATAGACTCAACCATGGAGTGATCCATAAAGTAGATGTTAAATACAGTAATCTTGATTGTACTGGACTTGAAAATGAAGATCAGTCGGAGCTATGGTTAGAAAATAAAGGCCTTTGAACTGCTGCCTATGGAGAACAAAACAAATATCTTTATACTGGAACTTCCTGACAAAAATTTTATTCTATATGGAAAGAACATATAAACCTACATGCTACAAAAAGGACCAGAGTTGCCATTACTGGGCAATTCCAAGCTGTGCAAAATCAACCAAAAGGCTGCTTCATCGATGCTACTGATTTTACAAGAGGACAAAGGCATAAAGTCTCATATTTACAATGGAAAGAAACATCCTTGGTAGTATCTACAGGGACCAGGATGCCATCTCGGAAAATGAATTTTGGATCAAGTCCCAACTGGGAATCTGGCGAATAACTTGATTTTGCAGTTACAGATTCGGCAACAGAGTGACAACTACATTCCGTTGGGACAAATGAACTATTTCCTGCACTTTTGCAGTGACAGCTACGCATTTCTGGACAGTCATTTCTATCAGAGCTTCCATCAAATGAATTGCTGATGTCTTCAGTAATATCAACTTTTCTGATCACTGACAGAAGATCCACTGACAATGATGCAACAGCATCATGAACATCCTCTGCTGTCCAATTGCTCTGGTTTAACGCCAATTTACGAGAAAGGAATTTCTGAATCATATTGTGTATGGCATGAAGACATATAGAACAACAGCGATACAAACACACAATGCCAGAGTTAGCAGCAGGACAGCTGGTTTCGACTGGAGAGATGTTAACATCTTCAGCATGCTCACTATGGTTAGGCTCAGCACTATTAAATGTAACTCTTCCATCCATGGCAGCCAACCCATTACTATGATTGCAGGAGTTGCCAGCGTCAGAGAACTTCAAGGCACCCAATTCAGCTGAATTGCATAGACCATTCTCAGAAGAGCGGGCAGGTTCTGTGAGTGCAAATCCATTAGCATGTTCCAAGGTTTCTGAATTTCCATCTGTAACTGCAAGATTTTCAGTAATTTCAGGTTCACATTGTCCAAGAGAGGTCCCATTCTGCTCATTTATAATATTATCAGGAGGAGAATTTTGAGAATGGTTATTTGTTATGGCACCGTCACGAAGGACAGTATGCTGTTCAGGTCCATCTTCTGGACGTATAGCTGCAGCCTCAAAATTAAGATCACAAAAACCATTTTCTCCTTTATTTGATTCACCACCTTCCTGATTTTCATGAAAAAATCTCCGAGCACTTCTTTCCAACCATTCAGTTCCATGCAAGTTTGTATCAGAAGCGTCTCCCTTGCACTGTCTTTCAACAGAATCATCCACACAGTTACTGTTACCTGGGAATTCCATGGTTTTCAGCTTAGCATTCACTACGTTTATTTGAGCTTCAGGCTCTAAACTGAAACAAGAAAAAAAGGTTGTTAGAGATCAATCTGCTAGTGAAATGAATGAATCAACTAATAAATGATAATAGTCAACAGTACCTCTGCAGTGCATGTGCCCAGCTGTTAACCACATCTTCCAGATAAGCCACTTGTGATAGAAGACGAACATATTGATATCTATCTTTACCAGCCTGAATTTTTTCATTAACTTGTCCAACTAGAAGCTCAAGAACTTTCCTTACCTCAAAAGAGACCTCTCTAAGTGAATTGTACTCACCTTTGTATGCTGATAAACCAACAGCAAGTAACCCTCTAACTAAACCTGATCTCTCATTGCTTTTAATATTGCCAGAGCTACAAGCAACAGCCACCTTATCTAATGAATTACAGGGACGAATAATGCAAGAATTGAAAGGCCATCCCTTCCAAGGTCCACTAACATCTGCACAAGGACCTTCTTTCAGTTTAGATGTGACCCAACAAAGTTCAGCAAAATGAGGATACCGTAGAACTTGATAGCCAAATGTAGAGATTGCCAACAACAAGCTTGATTTTCCTTTTAAACTTCTATTGGGCGGCAGTGGTATATTTATAGGATCATGAGGACATTGTGTGCCATCCTCATTTTTACCAACCAAAACAGGATTTTTACTGTGATATTCAGCATTAGAACAAGCAAGAATGGAATCAAAAGTTTCGTGCTCTTTGGATAAACTTGTAGAGATGTGAGCTTTAAGATGAATCAACTGAACAAATGGTTGGATTATGTCTCTCAACAATGCTTTTGCAGAAAGACTGATCACTGCATCATGGTTGAAATTCCCATCAACATGCACTGAGAACCAGGGTACTGTGGGATCCAATGGAGTTGAGTGCCTGCTATTCGAGCTATTATTTTTAAAGAACTGCCTTATTCTTTGGGGAAGTTCTGAAGATGGAAGCTCTGAGGTAGCCTGCAGGCATCAAAACATTACTTGCAAGGAAATGATGAACTGAATTGCCATACAACAGCATTCTTTAATCTAACAGCTAAAACAATCAATCTCATAACAGAAAAAACACTAGTTTAAATAAAGTAATTTGGTATAAATCTAGAGATAATCTAGTACTGAGAAAACTGATGCACATCCAAAGGTGTTTATGTACTACAGGTTAAAAGACACGCAGATGTGAAAGGCTGTCAATTAGTAACAAATCAGATTCCCTCAACATTTTACAAAATTATTTGCATGGTTAGACAAACAGCGCCGAACTTGAAAACCTAGAGTCAGAGCTACTGATTCTATGAAAAGAAAGCATTTTCTTATCTCGTTATCTTCATTATAGGCTATACACATTATGCTACGATTTGATAACTAATTCATTTATGCTTGCGGGATCCTAATTAAATTAGGATTTGTTGAAAAGGAAGTATAAAATGTACCATATCCATCAAGAACCCCTAAAGTTAATAGCATGTGAGAAATTTAGTAAAATATTGTGAGAGTATTGCTAGATAAGCAGATAGTGCATCTGGTTATACTTTTTAACAAGTATGGAGACATGACAAAAACAGTTATTCAAAAAAATCAAACTCATACCAGAATCATCAAGGATGTAGATGCACATATCGATTCCACCTGCTCAACAAATGAGCTCCAGGCATGTGAGATACTTCGGGCAGCACCTTGAGGTACTGTCAATTCCACCGGTTTACATTGATGCATGGATGACTCGGTTTCGTCTTCCACAATTTGACTGTTTGTTAAGGAGGATTCTTTCTCCTCAGAAAATTGATTGTTAATTGAAGATGTATTACTGTTATCATTAACTTGACAACATGTCTCCACAGCCCACAAATCAATTCTTGGAAGGAATATCATGCATGATTGGAAACTAGCACACTTCACTGCCAGGGAAAATAGATAAGAGTGAGAATTCATGCAAGTGCAATTTGGAGTTTGTGTCTTAAGCTATGAAGGTCAAGAAGAGTTAACAAAGACAGCCAACTTTGCATGTCCTTAATCATAAGAAGAGTATTACATTATACTGAAGGTGCTACACACTGCAATCTAAATTGGATGTCAGTCCTACTAGGGACCCATGTAATCTTTTCAAGTTAATAATGAGTTTCCATGTCTCTTCTCCACTCTTCCCAAACAACAAGAAAAGGGAAGCCAGGGGAAAATTATGAAAACCAATCAATCTCGTTATGTGAGTAATTATATTTACAGTGTGAATTTAATTTGAGATTGCGAGTCCTATTCCTATCCAATTAGGTGGTCTACAACAGCACAATATTATGCATGCCCGTTTCAGTTCAATAAGACCAACTGAGAGACTTTTGAAACTCTTAAGGAATCATGTGATGCTTTCCAATGCTAGATTCGAAACCCAGTATTTTGTGTCCAGCCCAGAAGTTTCACAACCAGTTCTCAGCTTGACCTAGCAGTTAAAAGTCCTGTTACAGTTTAAAAAGAAGAAGAAGAAGAAGAAGAAGAAGAAGAAGCTAAAAAGGAATGTCAAATTGATAAGAGCTAAAATAAGGGAGTTCAGTAGCTACTAAAATTCTTGAGCAGCATCCTGGATTAATTCCAACTTTAATTGTTGCAGTTCAGGAACCCCAAGTACAAGGCCAGTGATATCATATATATGACATTTAAACACATTACTGGATTCAGCATCACATAGGCAGCAAAGCTGATCAAAGAGTCAAAAAGATCCCTAACCAAATGTAACAATCAACATTTTAAGGTCCATAACAATTGGGCAAAAGATGCAGTATTAAATGAATAATAAAGATCTTGGCCATTTTCTAGGTGATGAGAGCATTTTTATTTGAGCACCACAACAGTGGAAATACTGAAATACTCTGAAAACGATAATATGCAACGGAAAATAAAAGACTAGGACTGTTGGAATTAGCTCAATTGAAATACTCAAGCTAACTCTTCAGCAATGGCAGGAGTCCCCAGAAATTGAGTCTAAAACAATATATAAGGTCACTATGGAAAAATTGCTAATAATGAATCTCATGTAGCTGAAATAGGGAATTATGACAAAAATGGAAGAAGCTAGAGAAAGAGAGTCTGAGAGAAGCATACTTAATATTCTTGTCATTCCTTGCACCATATCACCATGCCCCTCTTGTGAAACTGTAGCCAGATCAACCTTCTGAATTTCAACATTCCCAACAAAACAATGAAGAAAGCAAGAAGAAAGATGCTTCTGACCAGATCTGGGGCTCCCAGATATCAATACTCGAAATCCAGATTTTTTGCTTGATGCTACAGATATCCTTCTAAATAAACTAGCGTTCATGCCCCCATTATAAACAACAGAAGGTTCAACCTGAGCACTTTCATCATCAGTTTCATCTGTAAAAGCATCAGTGCCAGCACAGATAACCTCTCCAGTTAATATGCCAACCCATGAAAGCTTCCTCCATATTTCCTTGGCAACATCTGCTTCCCTAAGGAAACTATCAACATGAGACCACCAACGATCAGTAGGCAGATTATTATTCTCCAAAGAAGAAACAATCACACTTTTAACCATTTTTGCAGCTTTCAAAAGAGTGGGAGGCAGCCAGAGCTGTTCATGCAGATACATTGAAACAATCAAGGTGGATAATGGCTGCAATAGACAAGGAATGAGGTGGGTGGGAAGAGGTGATGATACTAAATCATAAGCAGCTATCCCTGCTTCTCTACGAGAGCAAGGAGGTGGCGAACATGCTAAAGCCTCTAACCAATCCCTCTCTTCCACTGCAAAAGCTGGAAGAGGAACACGTTTAGCACCAGGAGCTCTATCTCCAGCAGCGGATAACATTTCGTGCAAAGGGAAATTCCTCTTCAAAGCAACAATGGCAGTTTGAGTACAAAGAGCCTGCAGATCAGCACCAGCAAAACCTACAGTTCTTCTGGCAATCCACTTTAGCAAAGATCCAGTAACAGGTTTCGGCCAACTTCTTGTGTGAAGTGAAAGAATAGCAGCCCTGTCGTCCACTGATGGCAATGGAAAGTAAATCTCCCTATCAAATCTCCCTGGCCTACGTAGTGCTGGATCAACTGCCTCAGGACGGTTTGTTGCACCTATCACTATTACTGAACCCCGGGATTTTAAACCATCCATAAGAGCAAGCAGTGTGGATACAACTGAGCTATGAGTCTGATCTTGCTGCCTTGTACGACAAGGCGCTAAACCATCTATCTCATCAAAGAATATAATAGAAGGTTGACATCTTTCAGCAACCTGAAACAAGAGTCTCAATTGGCGCTCAGCATCCCCAACATACTTTCCTAGGCAGTCGGCACCTTTGCGAGCAAAATATGCTATTCGTTTATCACCACGAGCACATGAACCAATCAATGCCCGCACTACAAGAGTTTTACCTGTTCCAGGGTAGCCATGCAAAAGAACCCCCCTAGGAGGCGTAATCCCTAGATTACTAAAGAACTCAGGATACAATAGAGGCAAAATTACCACTTCCTTCATACATTGAATGACATCCTGAAGCCCTGCAACAGATTCCCAACCCTCAAATAGTTTTCCACCATCAGAGTTTGAGCCTCCGATGTAAACAGGTGCAATTCTTAACAGATCACGATGAAGCCTCTTGCTTTCACGCTTTAAAAACTCTTCATCCTCACCACAGTTCTCCAACCATTTTTCTTCTGCTTCAACGTCCTTTCGCCAAGCATCATTTGAGAGCTTCCTCATTTGTAACTTCATTTTCTTAGCTTTTAATTTCTTTATCTGCACTGCATGTTGATTACCATAAGGTTGGAAGAGATGCCGATGATATGTGCATGCTATAAGAAATTTCCGATGGTCAAAAATGCATCCAGTGGCTCGTGCACAAGGCTGGAAAAATAAAATAACATAAGCAAGTAAAGAATTAAATCAGAACAAAACAAAAACTGAAAAAAATGTTTTGCACTGAAAATAAAATAACCAACCAAGTGGTAAGTTTTTGGACACCGATCAACACGGCATCCAATAGTTGCCCCTGGCCTTCCACAGCGGCTACATTTTAATGCTCTTCCCCTGCAAAGTGCAGCCCTTATATTTTTTAAGCATCCCAAGCCCGCAAAATAAACCTGCAAATGGATAACGAGGTATGGAGATTTACTGCAACAACATAGTTGGATGGAAACACAAATTAATGTTTTAAAACTCCCAGTTCTTGCAACAAAGCTACTAGCTCATGAAATAAAAGAATCCATTCATGGCACATATGTACACTGAAAGAACATGGAAAATTAAAAAGTAAAGGTTGTTTCTTACTTCCAACAAATATGTCCATCAGTTTACTTCCTACAATATGCCAGACTAACGATGGCAAATTGATAAGACAAGATGTCCCCTCGAACATACAACAACAGCAGTTTAAGTCATGCACAGGAAATCATTATTTCCGTCAATAAACACCCAAAACCATTAAAAATTGCTTCAAAAACACGATAGAAGTATCTCATGTGAGTAGCGTGTCAACAACCTCTCTCTTTTCTTTCTTGGCCATGTATCAAAAACCTAGGACAACCAATCACAATACCACAAACTTGTACTCCTCAGACATAAGACATCTGGAGTGAACAGGTGTTTATTAGAACTTAAATGAAGGGAATAATAAAGAACAGGAATTGAAATTAAAAGAACTAGTGTCTCTAAAAACTGGAATTTACAATCAGGGAAATTCACCAAGCAAAGCAAAAATAAATGATCAAATAAACAAAACTGATTAAAAGATTGCACCTCTGGACTCCATACAGCACAGTTTTGATGAACCCAGATTCCAGCAATACCATAACGGTCGTTTATAGGACCCAAGAGACGGCCAAGCCACCCTGGTTCATCACCAAACCCATCCCATACATCATATTTGACATCCTCTGAAGCTGATGAACCACTATATGCCTCATTTTCACTCTCACCACCATATTGCACCAACCTTTTAGGTGGTTTGCCATCATTTCCACACCCACACAAACCACAACGTCTACCCTGTTTGATCTTTGATCTGCCAAGACTACTATTTGAATCACACTTGATTCTGTCTACCTTCAAATCTTTCTCATCCTCTAGCACATCCAAACCACCTTTGTTCGCCAGCTTCTTTGTCAAATCTACATACTCTTCATCAGCTTCCTTTTCATTTTTATCACCACACCCTCCGTCCTCCACCCCTTTCGTCAAATCTACAAATTCCTCAACATCCTCCACCCCTTTCGTCAAATCTACAACTTCCTCATCATCCTTTACATTTTTACCACAGCAACGTCCGTCCATTCCTTTCGTCAAATCTACAAGTTCCACCTCATCCTTATCATTTTTATCACAACACTGTCCATCCTCCATTTCATTCACCTCACCAACATCCCTTTCATTTTCGCCATCCGTACTCACCAACTCCTCCACCTTCTCATCACCCTCCTCCACATTTTCCACATTCTCATTTTCATCATCCTTCTTCTCAAATTCCAAACCATCCAATCTCTGTTTCTCTTCCTTGGTCTCTACCTGCACACCATCCCCATCCCCTACTTCCTCCTCATTTCCACCATTTATTTCGGCACCCAAATCCGGTACGCTCTCCTCACTTTCCTCATTCCTCGCCACCTCCATCTCATCCTCCTCACCTTTCTCCTCCTCACTGTTCCCACTTGTATCTCCGCCACCATGCACATTCCCACCCTCTTCCTCCTCGCTCTTCAACTCACTCACTGCCTTAACCCTTCCCACCCTCTTCAACCCTACACCCACAAACTTCCCACCATCAAAATCGTCCTCTCTCTCACCCAATTCACTCTCCCCCACCTCCATATCATCAAAAAGCTTCCTCCTCCTATTCTCCCTACCACTCCCTCCCCTCCCAGCATTCCTCCTCCTTGTCCTCAATCTCGATTTCCAACTTCCTGGCGTATCATCAAAATCCACTTGTTCCTCATTATCCTCCTCTTCCTTGACTCTCTTCGAGCTGCTGCCACTCCTTAAACTACTATTACCAGTCCTATAGCTTTTATTAACACCCAAATTCACATTCTTAATCTTCTTCCGTTTCTTAGCAGGTGGCGGTGACACATCGAGCAATTCAGGTGCCCGCCTGACCCGTGAACTCCGTCTGAGTTCCAAGTCAGCAACTTGACCCGACCCGGATTTTTCTTCATTGAGAGACTCGCCATGGTTCTGATTATACACATTTTCACATATTGCATCGAGTCTCTTGTGCTTCTTTCGAAGCCTAGCGCCCGTAGGTGAAGAACTCGAACCCAAACCCGAACCCGATTTCAATTTCATGATGAATAAAACAATATTATATATAATATGACTGTATAGGTATATGTGATTTCTAAGGGTGATATAGGTTCATCGTGTTGTTTGGCGAAATGGATTTTCGATTTTGGAGGGATTTGAGGCAGAGAGTGTTGAAAAATGAGGAAGGACTCAGGTACTCACTGAGTTGGACAGATCCGAGTTAGGGATTCTGGAGAAATTAGAAGCTCCGTTTGGTTTTTTTTTTTTTTTTTTATAAGGAGGAGTTTATAAAGGAGAGGTTTTGCTCTTAGTTTTTGGCTTTTGTACCACGCACGCCTGTTGACGTGTATTTCACGAGCAAGGAAATTGTTAATCGAGGTTGGTATATGCTGGAGTGTCTTACACGCGCTTAGGGGAGAGTGAATATTGTTATGGTTCAGTTTAATTTGTTTATTTATATTTTTTTAATTTTCTTTTTTCCTGACAAAACTTGCCCGCCAACTATTGTTTTCTCCATCAAATACAAGGTTAAATAACTTAAATCTGCTACAGATAAGGTGTTTTCTGTCAGTTTCAATATATTTTTAATTTAATTTTTTCTGCAAGTTTCTTGAAATCTATTTATTTATAATTTAGTTTTCAAAGCAAGTTTTTTGAAATCGAGTTATTACAAAGAAATCAAGTTTTAAACATATCATTTATACTAAATAGAAAATTAATAAAATATCAAATTCTTAAATTGAAATGTAATATCGTATAAACTAACACTATTAGGATGTCATATAGAATAATTATATTTTTTGGAATGTAATAATGTTATCATTTCATAAAATTACAATCTTATACAATACATCAGTAATAATTTTGGAATGTTTAGCAACAATTCTGTTTATTGTTAGCATGTGCTAATCTTTTTCGTCACCAAAATTTTTCCTTCTTTGAAAAAAAGAAGAAGAAAAATAGCTCTTACAACTTTACAATGTACAGAGAATGTTTACAAAATAGTTATGGAGCTAAAATCAACAACATTATATGCGATTCTTGTACAGAAAATTAACTCTTCCTGGAGACTCAGGTTTCCTCCATGCAGTAATCGGCACTACTGCGCCATCGGCTAGCATCCGTATCAAAACTCTTGCTATATTCTTTGTGTCATCAAGACCAAGATGGTGACTTCCCACCATTGGTATTTTAAGTTGCTGCATCATTGTCCTCATACCTCTGGCCTGCTATCAATAATCAAAGTTAAACATATGGAAAGAAAGAATGGCTACCACGAGAAATGATGAACATGACGGTACCTTCTACCAACACTAACCAAAACAATGATTAATTTTTAGTTGATAACATAGAAACAAATCCAGAGTGCCAAACGCTAATCAAAACCATCGTTAAGGTCTAGTTCACAGAATGAAAGCAAATTAAGATCAATGCTCTGAACTTTCGACTTCGTTTGGTTTATATTGAATGTCAGCATCATGAAACATAGAGTAAATGCCTAAATTTCTTTCTTGAAACATTATCTTAATTTCTGTGATACAGAAGACAACTAGAATTATGAATGATGTCTTATGAAACGTGAAGAGTTAAAAAATCAGTGCACCATACCTCTTGTCTTGGATTATAAAAATTTTGATAGATGTCTTTCAGATTGATCCACTCCATAAAGTATGGGGGAACCTTCAACTTGGACACAGAGCATTGACGAGGGACCTGTGTTTTCACATCCCAATTTCCACTGATACCAGAGTGGAACAAAGACATATCAGCAAGTGGATATTATTTCACAAACCCGAAGCAAGATACCCATCTTATTATTATGAGGGAGGGTTCTGCCACCTTCACAATATGTCTATTTAGAATAACACAACTGGTTTAAAGATAGACTCACCAAGTTACAAACGCTGCTCGATTAAGAAGCCCACCATGCATCTTTTCCCACAAATTATGTTGAGTCAACCACGATTCAAATTTTTGAAGAACTTCATTAAATGGGAGGGCTGTATCATGCCACACACTGCAAAAGCAAGTAACTATTGTAAGATAGATCAATTTTCCACCATAGATGCAGAAAACTACACCTATGTTCAGATGAATCATTGTTATTCCAAACTCATTCACATTCAATATTACTTGTAATACAGTAGGCAAATTTAAGCAAACAGCGGTGTGTTTGCCAGAAAAGGAACAAAATTAGTAGATTCTCCAACAGTGGTAGAGTGGAGGCATGGTGGTCAAGAGGAGATGCTAGCTTTGCTAATAGCATCATAGAACTGTATTGGCTAAACTATTGGTAATGCAGCTAACATGGCTAATACAATTCAGAGAGGCTTGTACACTACTAATTTAACCAATACAAAAAACGTTATGTTCCTAAGACAACTACAACTAGTCATGAGTATCAACCATGCATAAACTGACTACAGAAAACTGCTGGTTTCACATTATCCATGATGCAGACAACAAAGGAAGCAAAACTTGTGTCTTTTTGTAGACAAGGGTATTTCTGCAGTTTTTGGAAAATCTGAAAATTTGTCCAAGTCTAGGTTTTATTTTCTATTTAGTATTTTATTAGTCTTAAGGAGTAATTAGCCTTATTAGGTTTTTCCTATTCTACGTAGACTTAGTATTTTCTTACTTAGGAATCTAAGTTCTTATTAGATTTGGACTTCTATAACTCTATAAATAGAGAGTGTAATCTTTCAAAATTATGAATGATAGCTTATGAATAAAATCCCAGCAATTTGCTTTTGATTGTGCGACTCAATCCCCCTCTAAGGTGTGACTCTTAAAACCCCAGGTATGACTCTTAGAAATCTACCCAGATATTTCCTCATAATACAGCAAAACCATACTTCATAAAACCATAAACACCCGTAAACAGCCTCTAAAGATCAGATCCAGAACAGCCCCTAAGCTGTCCTGCATCAATCCATCAGCAGCATCATTGATATCATTCATCTCATATATATTGCATCATTAATGTATTGAGAATCCATAATCATAGAGTAATCAGTTCGCATCAAAATAGCATGTGCAAGTGGAAGCTGATGAGAAACTACACAGAATCATGTAAAAGCTTTTGTTACTATCATAATTTGCCTCGTATGCTAAAAATGGCTCTCCTAATTACCAATAACATTTGACTAAACATAAATTACAAGATGAAAGCAGAAAGGGTAGTATACCGATCAACTCCAAACTTGCCGTATTTGTTGTGAATATATTCATTTACTCTTTGCTCACTCATTGCTGTGGGCCGTACAAACCTGCAAAGCATAAAAGTAATCTTAAGAATACAAAACAAAGGAGTCCTAAAGAGTATGCTGACAACTTGTATATCGCTGTCCTAAACAAACATCATGAACAGGGCAACATATATAGTAAAATACTTTACAGTATTAGATAATCTACATTCGTATATATCTTAATAAAAACTCTTCAATTTAACTTTGACAGTAAAGAAACAAAACATTACACTGCCATAAAAAGAAAAGAGAATGAACCTGTGAAACAAATCAACAACACCCATATTTTTCGCATCAATTATCAGTACAGGAAACTCAAGAATCTCAACTTTCCCTTCCAAATCAAGCACCAAGAAAAAGTCAAAATCTTGAGGTCTCTTTCGTTCAAAATCAGCAGCACTCACTTGAAAATCTTTAGAGCAATCATGATTAAACCTCTCTAGATGAGCAGAATCATCAATCTGAATAACAACCACATAATTCCCATAAGCAATCACAATTAAAAAAATCCTAACTTTTCACATATTCAACAAAGTTAACACTAGAGAGTAAAATATCACCAAAGTTAGCACCTTTCTTTTAAAAAAAAAAAAAAAAATTAGCTATATTTCACCAAAATTAACACTAGAAACAAGCAAAAGTTTGAAAGTTTGAAACTTTACCATAGTACACTTGCCTTGTGTGTGATATAAGCACATAGGCCTCCACCTCTGAGTGGAATTGGCATTATCAATAGGAGAAGAAGGCATTGGAGAGGGAAGTGCAGAAGGAGATTGAGATTGTATTGGGACATTGAAATTAGTGAGTGAACGGACAGTTTGGTTTGTAGGTTGTTGTTGGGATTTGGATATTGGAATAAAGTGAGTGTGGTGAAGGTGAAAGTTGTTGCTTTTGTTGAGATATGAAGGAATCCTAGACAGAGGAGGAACCCTAGGGAAAGACATGGTTTTTTGGTGTCTCTGACGTTGGAAGAGAGAGAGTGATTTGAGTCTGTGAAGCTTTGGATCAAAGGGTGGGTCACGCAGGTAAATTGGTGGGTCACCTGTAGTTTAAATAACCACCGTTACATACTTAAACATTGGTTTTTAGAAAGTACGCGGAACAAAATTTTATAATTTTTTAATTAAATTTTATTTTTTATTTTTTTAAAATATTTATCTTTAAAATATATGATTCAGTTCTCTTTATGCATTGATTCTTAAATAAAAATTTATAATAATTTAAAATTAAATATTAATTCAAAATTAAAAAATATTTTAAAAATATATTTCTCATAAAATTGGATCCAAAAAATAAATCTACAATTAATACATAAAATTAAATTAAATAATATATATATATATATATATATATATATATATAAAATAATCAATAATGTTAACATAAAAAATTATATTTAAATGATTCGATGATTTTTAAAAATTACTTCATTCATTTTATTTCAAAAAAAATTAATTTTATAATATTAAAAAAATAATAACAAATAGTTAATTTTGTAAATAGTTAGTTTTATGTGTAGAAGCCTAATTAATTTTTAATAAAATTAAAAATTTAATTTCTTTTTTATATGTCATGATTATATTTAATGGTTTGAAAGTGTGTGCATAAAATGACAAATGTCAAAAAAAAAAATCTCAAATAAATTATCTAAAATATATATATATATATATATATATATATATATATATATATATATATCCTCGTCAAGTTATATGAGGAAAAAAAATATTGTGTCTTCCATAATTTTTTTCCCAAAAATCCATTAAAAAATATCAATTATTGAAAAAAAAAATTGACAGAGAGCATGCCTGCACTTGCCCTTAGGATTGACTCCAGGCCTGGGCACGCACTTCGATTTAACTCTAGGCCTGCGTAAGCTGGGGCCTTGTTCTACGCTTGGGTCAAGTTCCAAGCCCGAGCAAGCCAGACCAAAAAAAAAAAAAAAAAAAAGGAAAGAAAGAAACTGAACACTACAATTTCTAGCGAACCACAGTTTGCCGAAAAACATAATCAAAAAAATAAATTTTTAATTTTCAGCCTCCTCAAATCCATATTTAGTCTCATTTTTTTTCATAAACACCTCAAAATCACATAAATAATAACATCAAATTTATTTAGAGTCTCAAAACCATTTTAACACCAAAAAAAAAAATCAAAAATCAAATAAAAAAATAAAAATATTTTTGGGGTCCGATCCACTTCTTCTGTCTATTTTATAGCTTGTGACTATTACAAACAAATTCTTTTTTTCGAGATGAATAAATTGATAATAAGTTCGACGATCGAGGTAGCTCGAGTAGGCCTCGTCATCCTTTTCTATCTCCTCCCTTCTCTCTCCCTCATATCTCTCTCCTCTTCGCATGCAAAAACCAAAATGCAAAACAAATAAAGCTAGAGATCAAAACAAAAATATCTGAAAAAGCAAGAGACCGAGTGCAAGATTTTTGGCAAACTTAATTGCAAACAATGAAATATACGGTACGAGTGGGTATGAGTGAACAAGTATAACTAAATGTATGTTAACACTAAAAGAAATAATGTTTCACTTATTTTATTTTAGTTTTATGTATAATGTTTAATAATATAAAACAACAATAATCACATTATATAACAATAACAATTGTTATTGCTTATATTTTAAATATAATGTTTTTTTTTTCAAAATAAATCTTTAATAGTTTGACTTTTATTTTTTTGAGATTCCATTAATTTTAGGAATTCCAACTTCTAGTTAGTGATCCTAATGTTTCAATAAATTTATTTTTTATGCTCTCTCAACTATATCTAACCTTTACGTCAACCTCTTTCACACAATTACACTAACATCAAATTGATTTTTATACTAAATCAAACAAATGATTGAATTATTTGCTTGAAAAGTGATGATACAAGGTTACAAATTAAGCTCGGTTACACTAACTTCAACTTGATTTTTTTTTTTTAATATTTGAATTATTTGTTAAGAGATGGATTTGAGAAAAAAGAGAAGTCAAAGTTGAGTTTTGAGAGGAAAAATGAATGTGAATTCTTTTATTTTCTCTGTTGAAAGCTGAAATGATTTACAAGCTAACGGAAAATTAATAAGAAACTAACTACCTAACTAAAAGTCAACTAAAGAGCTAACTAACAAACAAACTAATTATTATTTCTAACTAATTGCAACTGAATTAAATAACTAACTCTAGCCTTTTATTTCTTCTTTTTATACTCCCCATCAACATGAACACCAAACATGTTGATGATGTTTATCTTCCCTAGAAGTAATTTGAATTGACTCGGATGCTAACTCTTTGTAAAGACATTTGCAACTTGTAATAACTTTTTCTCTCCTAAAATGACAATAAACTTTTACGTGTTCAGTTTTTTATAAAAAATACTAGATTTCTATAAATGTGAAAGGCTAATATATTGTCACAATCCAGCTCTATTAGTTGAACATTTGAATGTCCAAAATCGATAACAAAGATAACGACCAAATTACTTCATACGTTGTAGATGCTATAGATCTATAGTTTGCCTCTATCGAACTTCGACCACTAAAGATTGTTTCTTAGATTTCTAACTCACCAATAAATTTTCTAGAAATATAAAAAAATCTATCATCGATTTTTTGTATCTAGGCATCCTGCCTAGTCATTATCTAAATATGCTTTCAAATGTGGCTTTAAACTAGCGAGAAAACAACAAGTCTTGTTCTAAAGCATTCTTCAAATACGTCAACACTCCGTGAGTAGGTTGCATATGTATGGTTGTAGGTTTGTTAAGAAATTATGATAAGACCTATATTGCATAGGCAACATTGGCTCTAGTGAATGTTAAATACAATAATTTTTCAACTAGTTGCTTGTATGTTATAGAATCTACGAATTTGAGTCAACATTTTTTGACGGTTTATGCTTTTGACCCATAAGTGTAACTACTTGTTTTAGAACTAGTAAAATCATATTCTTCTAACAAATCCATAGTTTTTTTTTTTTTTTGACATATTGAAATTCCTTTTAATAACTTTGGAACTTTAATGCTAAGACAATATTTCAAAATTTCCAAGTTTCTTAACTTGAACTTGAGATTCAAAAACTACTTTAAACCATTAATAACATCGGTAGAGTCACTTGCTACGACTATGTCATCTACATGACAAGTAACCAAAGAAAACTCTTTTCTTTTCTCTACACAAACAATGAATAATCGACTTTGATTGAACAAGTCTAAATTCTAAAAATGCATCGGTGAATTTATAATTCCATTGTCTAGAAGCACTGTTTCGGATCATATAAAGACTTGTAAAGCCTACAAACTAGAATGAATTAAGTGCATACTCTCCCCGCACTTGATAACCGAAAGGCAAATCCATATAGATCGATTTAACTAAATCATCAATAAGAATAGCATTGCTAACATCTAATTGTGGAAGATGACAATCGTGAATAGTTGTCAATACTAACAAAACCATTACAATAGCATGCTTAGCGAGCAAGATTAAATGTTTTTTGATATCAAATCATTTCTTTTGATCGTATCTTTCACCCACTAACTTGGCTTTATACCTTTTAAAACTATCATCAAATTTCAATTTAATCTTATAGACCCACTTGGAACCAATTAAGTGTTGACTAGAATCAAAAGAACAATAACTCAAGTGTGATTACTTCCTAAAGCATCAATTTCAAATTTCAAAGCTTCTCTCCAGGTGAGCAAATTTCACAACTTGAGAATAAGTGTGTGGCTTAGAAATAAAAGAAAGAGAATCGAGTAAAGGATTTATGAAAGGAAGATAAATGAACATTAAAAACATAATGACATAAATAATTGGTGTTTTATTGACAATAAAAACAACATGGTTAAATTGGTGTTCACAATCTTCAAGATGAGCAAGCAATTTTGAATTTTTAGTACTTCTTCTTAAAAGTGGATTATGTTATGTAGTAGGAAATAGAACAAGATCAACAAGATTTTCTATATGAGACGAAGAAATAAATTCATGATCATGATTATTTATAGATTCTAAATAACCATGATTATGATATAAAAAAAAAAAAAAGGCATCATGAGGACTAAATATAACATGATCATTCGGACAAATGGATATAAAAGTAACATAATCATTATAATGATTAACAAAATTATTTTCTAGTGCTACTTTAGAAAAATCAAATAGAGAGACAAAATGAGGTTGACAAATATAAATATTAAAATCACTGAAAAAATCATTAGAATAAGGAAACATATCTTTATGAAAAACTACGTCTCTAAAAACAAATATAGTGTGAGTATGAAGATCATAGAGTTTGTACCTTTTTTATCCTAACGAGAATATGCAATGAAAATTCATTATTTAGCTCTTGAATCAAATTTCGTCTTATTGTAAGCGAGGAGTAGAAGAAAAAGCAAAACATAGTGAACCAAATACTCTAAGATGATTAAAACTAAGAGGTTTATGAAAAAGAATTTCATAAGCTGAGGCATTTTAGAGAACGAGGCTAGGTAATTTGTTAATGATATAAGTGGCTATCAAAATTGCATTTTTCCATAATTTTATAAGAAGATATGCCTAAAAGAGAAGTTACCTAGCCACAACAAGTATATTTTGATGTTTTCTCTTTACTACTGTATTTTGTTAAGGTGTTCCAACACTTGACATTTGATGTATAATTCTCTTAGAATGATAAAAGTCAAGTAGATTAAGTTCTTGACCATTATCGGATCTAACTTATAAGATTGAACCACCAAACTATATTTTTATTATACTATAGAAAGAAAGTACATACATCAACTTTTATTCTCATTAAGAATATTGAGGTAGTTCTAGTGTAATCATCTATAACAATAAAAAAAGTAATGAAACCACCTATAGTTGATATAGAATATGAACCCTATATATCCATATGAATAAGTTCAAAGGATTTAGTATTATCTCTAATACGAATAGGAAAGGCAATTTTTT